AAAACTTCTGTTATAATTGCATTTATATCAATTAAAATTTCAATCACTAAAATTTACACAATAATCACTAGTTACTTTCAATACTAGCAACAGTAAGATTTAAAGCAAATAAAATTTTAGCTACTTACACAACTAGCTACATTTTAAAACTTGGCATTTTTCTTCCCTGAATGTGTATTTCTGATAGATACCGCCTCATACAGAATAGCTTGATCCCTTGTGCATCTGCCTAGGAGATTTGTATTCCACTAGCTTTAAACTAACTCCCACCTACAAGTCACGTGTTTTACATAAATTACACTGGTGCATAATGACATCATCATGCAACGATACCTTTCCACCAACAAGTGGAGTGATTCAACCTCCTTGTGCAATAACTCCCATTAAGCACTTGCAATCGAAACAACTTCATTCTTAGATGAAGAAAGTGCACCAAAATGGGGAGGATGAAAACATGTGTGGAGGTTATTCTCTATTGGAAATACATTTTCAGTAAGGAAAATGTCAACTTCCGAGATGATGTCTCACCTCTTCACATAGAATAGCTAGAATCCCAAAATGAAATGGTGGAGAGGCTGATGCAAACATTAAACCTAGTTGAGCTCCCTTTAGAAAATGGCCAAAGGTAAAGCCCATAAAATGTGGCAGGGGCTTTATAGGGGCACATCAGTAGGTGATTGCATCTCATTTTGACCAGGATATACTTTTTGCTCAGATGGAAACAAAGGGAAGGCAAAAGAGCCCCAAGCATTGCAGGGATGGGCAAAAGTTTATCATGACCAACTGAGCACACACACACACACACAAAGTAGTCAGCAAGTAAAGAAGTAGTGTGGTTAGGGTACGATCAGACCGTACATTGTGCATCTCTCACCTCCACTCAACTAGAAAGATTATCACTGCAGGAGGAGGGCACATTAGCTGTTTAAAAGGTGACCTGCACTATACAGACAGCGTCACCACAGCTAGATTTCCCACCAATGCTATGTACAATCAGTGAGAAACTGTCAAAAGTCCATCATCCTAGTGGCTAGGAACTAGTAAGTGGCAAGGGTTTTCTGTGTTCCACTTGAAAAGGAGGGAGAGAATTTGTGGTGGGGAGACCAACAGAAATGCCCAGTTCCCCATCAGACACCCACTGGAAAGGTATTTTGCTGGAAACAGTGTAATTGGTGACCATGAAACCCCATTTTCAATAGCTGACAAGCACAAGCCAAAGAATTGTGGAGACATTTCCTTGATGTTGACTTTTTCGCATGATAATCCATGGAATGGTACAGTCTGGATTGGACAACTGAGTAATTTTTAATACCATGAAAATACCTCTAGTGGTCTTGCAGAACACCCAATTTCAACAGTGGGAACTGATACAGTTAAGGTGGATAGGTTGCACTCTGTCTGTTACCCCTGGCCAGATGTGGATTTTGGAAAGTAAGTACATCTTGGGAGGCAACACTAGCTATCTGGCAGAATCCTATAAAAGTGAAAAGGTTGCTGAAAAAGAAAATGTAGAGGTAAATACCCTCTTGATGGCACTCTTGGCCATGAGATCCAAGATCATATCTGAAAAATTGAGCATAAAGGGGAACAGAGGGAGGAGGAAAAAGGAAACAGAAAAGGGAAGAGGTGAAAAGAAGTGGAGAGACAAGCTGTGGGTGAGAACCTGAAGAACCCATCTGTTGTAAAAATGGAGACCAAAGGCTGGTGAAGACAGACAAACAGGTCTCCACAGGGCAAGACCCAACAAGGTATTGATCAATACAACAAGCGATGATCCTGACATTGCAAATTGGGAGGACGAGAAGCGAAAGAAGGTTAGAAAGCCAAATTGGTAGGGAAGACGTGGATTCAGCAAGCTTAGGAACAGAAACAGAATGGTGAGGTGGAGAAAGACAAGGAGGACTAATGCTAAGCTGACCAAGCCTATGTCTTCAGAGTGTCAAACACCCCAAAAACCTCAGAGTGAGAAAATGGAGGACAACAAAGATCACAAAATAAGTGTAAGGGAGGTGTACATTAGCTAGAAGATCATCCCATCCAAACAGCAGAGGAACCAAGTAAGGAGAGAGAGAGAGAGAGCAAAAGAAGTACTGGACAATGTGGTGAAAAGAAGAGAACAAACTTCTCCAGAAATCCCTCGAATTAAGTGTTCAGACATAAGGTGTATTGACGAGAGGTAATGTAGTAGGTTGTAAGAAAAAGACAAAGGTAAGGAAATTGGGCACCAGAAAGGGAAATAAAAGCTAAGGAAGCCACCCCCCAAATAGGTAAAAAATCCCAAAAACTGGGAATCAAGGAATGGAAATAAAGTATGGCCGCAACTCAGGAAAACAGAGACAAGTAGATGATGATGATGTTGAGGCATGTTAATAAAGGTGTGCAGGTGTTTGAGAAATAGTCTGCATGGACCCTAATATCAGGTGAAGGAAGGAAGACAAAAAGTAGTCTTGAGTTTGAGTTTAATGTAGTAAAGTAGGAGGGGAATCAAAAGGCAAAGGGGAAAGAGAAAGAACATACTACCATAATCATGCCAAAGTAGAGATGAAAAGAGTGAAGACTTTTCTCTATAGACAAAGCTGTGACTAGAGCAAACCCTGTTGGTGGAGCTCGCCTGTCACAATTGTCATCATCCTGATCATGTCCAAATTTGGAAGAAGGAATATCAGCTGAGAGGACAGGAGGAGGAGACCAGTGTGCATGAAGGAACTCACTACACATTGAATAAAGGCTGTCATTTCCTCCACAGAGGACCCCCCCCAGTAGGCACTACAGACACGAGTCCCATGTTAGGAACATTGTCACTATCATGGGACAAAGTGGAAGGAACTATCATTTGAGAATTCATAAAAGGTAAACAGGAGGAATTAGTTTTAGTTTTTTCCTGTAGTTATAAAAGAAACTAGCAAAACTTAAACAAAATTTAAGTATCAAACTATCGCAAATCTCATGCAATCGATATACAATTTAAAAAACGTACATTCTAGACAATGCAGAGGAAAAGAACATAGTTATTTCGAGCATAATTGCTTGTGTGGAGTTATTGCAAAATTATGTTGCATCATTCTTCTAATGGTGGAGGGCTATCATAGCATGATGATGTCATCATGCACTAGCAGAGTTCATGTTAAACATGATTTTTATATGAGAGTTAGCTTAAGGCTAGTGGCATACAAACCTCATAGGCAGACATATGAGGGATCAAGCTTTTCTGTGTGTCTAGGTAAAGTACTGTCTCAGAAGTTATTAAATATTTATAATAAATCAACATTTAACATATACAAAATAAAAGTTGTAAATTTCATGTCAGAAAGAATATAAATTAAGTTATTATAAACTGTCATAAATATGCATTTCAATTTCAACCAACAAAAGTATGCTAGTAACTAATTGAAGACAAAATAAACTATTCTGATGCTATGTTCAAATAAACAACCAATACGTCCTATTACATAATGATATAATTAATTTTAAGTATCACTGAAATAATTCTGAATATGTAAGAAATATCTTAAATGTGATAATGCTACATATTAAGATTTAATTTCAGTGAGTAAGTCATACCTGGATGGTTCTCTTGGTAACTTTTCAAATCTGAGATAGATGTACCAGTTCCAATATTTTTAAGATATGCTACAAAAAAAAAGTTTAAGTTATATCTTTCACTCTAAATTATACAAAAACAATTATGGCGGTGTTTGTGAATTAATGCACACAGACATAAACACAGTTATGTATCCAAATATACACACACAAACTGATCATAATTCACATTCCAAAATGCAGATACGAAGTATACTGTTTCTGATACAGTTACTATACTGAATTATAAAATAGTACAAATCAAACATGTTTACTGAATTTTAAAGGAAGGAAATAACATGAAAGAGTAAATAAAAAGAGTGTAAAATACAAATATGAGATTTCTGCCCTTCTGTGATATGGAAAGGAGCCCAATCAGAGTACAGTCACACATTAATAATTTACACTGACAACCAATTAAACAGTTTTACATACCATAAAGCATATTAAAATACAGACAGTCAAATTATTTCTAGCAGTAGTACACACATACAGAAGAGGCGGTGCATAGCAAAATGTAAAAAAAGACTACAACATGCAACAGATTGAGGCAAAATTATTTTTCAATAGAAGTTGAAACAAATACTGTTGATAATAGAAGTGGTAACAGGAATGTGACAAAGGGACAGCTACATGAACATGGAGGCAAACCAGACAAATTCCACACTTCAAGATAAATAGATAGCATATGCCAGGAATGAGTTCTTTTTGAGGATGGGTCAGAAGGGATGGAAGGTTGGGAAGGGAAAGTCAGGACTCACAAGGGAGGAGATTGAGTAATAGAAACCTTGGTTTGGATCACCTGTGATGGGCCACCAAAAGGACCCCACAAGGGGTGTCCTGAAACAGAGCAAGGATCTGAGGGAGGATGTGAAAGGCATAACAAAAAAAGATTGGACCAGTCCTGATGAAGGATATAGATGGCCTGGGCTAAGGAATGAGGCACAGGAAACCAAAAAAGAGAAAGGTTAGCAATGAGGGGTGTGGTATATGAAAAAAAAGGAGTAACAAGTTGAAAGCAGAATAATGGAAGGTTAGTGGGTGATAAAGCATTCCATGGGTAGGACATGATCATGTCGTGAAAACAGCCCACAACAATGGGCAGTATCCCCAGAACATAACAGACTATGAAAATTTACCAAATGAAATAATACAAAAATTATGCCTAAACATTATATTCTATGTATACATGTTAAATTTTTCACTACTGACTATGTAACCCCAATGTTACATTCAGTTTCCATATGCAAATATATGGATTCAGAGAGTACTTCATCTGAAAACTTTCAAATTTCACATTCACTATTTCTAAATCCTAAACAAATACCATCATATAACATTATTTCTCAGAAAAACTTTATATTTTCTGTTATTTTCTCTTCCCCAACTCTATATGGTGTTGGTCAATTTGACCAATCTCGTAACCACCATAAAATTTTAAAAGGATTAAAAGTGTGAAATAAAGTGAGTAATACTGTTCTATACCATTCAGTATTGAACACAAAGTTCCAAAGTACTTCTTCTGAGAGTTTCTACTTTTAACCTTTTCACATCTTTATCCTATGTTTATTTTACTCTTATTGGCTAAAGTATAAACCTGTTGATCATAAAGCAATGAATCACTGCTACAGCCATTACTGTTTATGTGACATTGTTGGTAGCAAATAAGCTTGTGCAGCACAATTACAAGAACTTTCATAATGCCAGTTCCAAAAACAGTGGGAGAGGATTTATCAGCTTGTTTATAGTACAATGGTTACAACAACAATTATCTAAAGTAATAAAAGTGCAAGAAAATGATTATTAAAATGATTCTGTACAAAGACTGGGATAATCCAATAAACTTGCTAGATAGTTCAATTTTAGTTATCCTCCCGGGGTGGTCAGAATTTAGTGGTATAAGTTTACAAAGTGTGTAAGTGCTTATGAATGTGTTTGTATATTTACTATTTACTCATATGCTTAATTTTTGGTTATTTTTCTTAAAACATAACACAGTAAATAAAAATAAATAGAAAAACAATGCTTTCTAGTTCTTACAATGTTACAAAATTGACTTGTACTAGTGCATCTTACTTACTAAGCCTCGTTCATTCTCTCAAATGGAGGGGGAAAAATTAATTTTTCTAGATTTCAAAGATTTTAGAAAACCAAAAAAAAATTATTCAATTAATAGACTGGTACACATAAAACCACTGTAATTTATCTGACTTTCTAGCAAAGCTATATGTTATTTCAAAAAAACAACAAAAACTCATTTCTGTTCAAAGCAACAACTTACTCAACAGACTTCAACATTTCCAGTCAAACACAAGTTCCCCTTTCAAGCCAATTACAAATGACTGTCAGATTTACATAGTTTGGGAATTTCTATTGGTTATAAACATGTACTTAAAAGAATTAGGTACAAGTAGACAAGATGTTTCAAAAAAAATGGAGTAGTAGACACGACTACCTCATAAGTTTGCAAAATATATGTATATATCGGTAAATCAAAAAGGTGGGAGGTTCATATTTTACATTCTAGCTTGTAAATGTCCGAGTTTGAGTTTCTAATTCATTAACTATTACAAACATTGTAGGGTAGGTGTAATAAAATATAAACTGAGCAATAAGACAAGGCATGCCATATGACACACAAAAAAGCATATTAGGCTTTTTGTTTTTAATACTGTTTCAGATTACGTATATATAACATTAAAGTTTGAAAATAACTAAAATATTGTGGCATGTGCCCTTTGACTTGTCCACTGAAAGAGGTTAAGGAGCAATGAAAGAAGATTAAACATTATCTACTGTGAGTACATATTAAGAAGTAAATATCCACAACTAAATATTATTTACAATGTTTGACATGTTATGGATAAATTGATTATGTCTAAACCTTATCTTCTAATTGTACATGAAGGAGTAATTAACCATATCTAATCATTGCAGCCTATATGTACATGTTAAGGAGTAATGAACTATAACAAAACATTATAATTGATTTGTTACGTGGCAAGGAGTATTGAACGAGATCTAAACATTATCTTCCGTGCGTATATGTTAAGGGTGTGTTATAAAGCAAAGCCACATCAGGCCATCTGTTGTGTCTATCAAGGGGAATCAAACCCCTGATTATACCATTGTAAATCCATAGACTTACTGCTGTTCCAGCAGGGGATTACATGTTAAGGAGTAAAAAACTATGACAAAACATTAACCTTTGTGTGTACATGTTAAGAAGATTAGAATATCAAAAAGAAGAAGAAAAAAAAAGGATAACAAACAGAACTGGATTTCTTTAAGAAAACCTGGGAATATATACAATGTACTACATACCCAAGCATTTTTCTTAGGCTGTGTCAAGTTAACTGAGAATAAAATCAGGCTAGACAAATGGGACGTACGTTTATTTGGTTAAAGTGCAAGATGTCGTAAACATACTTATGTTCCTCACTGATAATCTGTTGCTGGTCTCTGTCTGGGCTTTTATTCTCCATGAATACAGGCATACTTAATTTCACAGAAAAATATGATACCCTATAACCCGAGCACTGCTCAGATGAAAATGGTTTTAAATATCCCAAATTATTCTAATTAAATCAACCATATTAGTCCTTCTGCATAAAAAAAAATCAAAGTGATTTCTTTAACTAATTAAATATTTTGATTACAATCAATAAAAATAATAATGTGTGAAAAATATAAAAATTTGCAAAACTGGGTACATTGCTCTTGCTTCATACATGCACTTTACATGACACTTCATGTTTCCCAATTATTGGTGTGTGGTCAAGTGTCATTTGCAGCATATTGTGACTTTATTATTGTTCCATTTAATAAAGAATTGACAAATTATCTTCTTGGTGCAATGCAATGAAAATTTGCCACTACCAAATGTTTTTGTAAAGTCATTATATAGGTGATTCTTGCGAGTACACACAAGCAAAGCAACTGATATGGCTGAAGCAAGCCTGTTTATTTGAGGGAGTGTGTACGCATGTTCTAGAGAAAGCATCAGCCTTTTCAGTTAAGGTGAGTTGGATAGTATGTATGTGTAGAAAAAAAAAGAGCACAAATGAAGGCTCCAAAAAGTTTTTAAGTCATTTTAACACATAATTGATCATGGATAGAATTATTAGGAGATGTCCTCACATAGAGAAAAGAAACATAAATAATAATCCTCTCATCACATATTACCAAAAAAATTCTAACCTTTTCAAGTTCAGATAATTGGTCACTAGTTTGCCAAAAATTGATATATTGGTCAGTTTGGCCTTAATTTGATATAACATTTTTGCATACAAAGAAATAGTCCATTCATTTAAAATTAGGGCCATATTTGCATTTGAAAAATGTAGTACTAGTATCACTTGGCCTTCTGGTCCACTCCCAGTTGTTCATTTACCAAAGCAATTGTATCATATGGACATTTTGTTTTTCCAAGCTTTCTAGAAAATACTGCTTTGTTTACACAAACCAGGGGTTGCTTCTAGTACAAAATGCCCAAAACTTAGCCTAAAATGTTTTGCTTCTTTTAAATTTATTTTGTCACAGACAATCATGGTAAAAGAACTTTTTTCTCCTCACATTAATGATATATTTGGTTGTATAGCTTGATCCCATACACATGTGTGTGCATTTATATTATATTGTCCCCTAGTGGCTTAATGACAAGTAATTTGCCTTATAGCACTAAAAGCCTCATTTTAATGTGCATGGAGAGTACCACACAGATAGTGCATTGTATAGGTTTGGGCTGAACAACAAACAAAGAAATGATGATGGTCTGTTAGTCCGAGGACCCATTACTCCAAAGGCCCAGTAATCCTAAGATACAAGTTTTTTTTTCTTTTGAATAGCTAAACTTGCAAAATTTTATGACAAAAACATTCCATTGATGGGCTTTGCAATAATATATTTACCATAATTTAACATAAACTATTAATCTATTTTACATTTGCACACATGCAAAATATTCTACAAATGTGTTCACGAGTGTGTATATATTATTATACATAAATACATATTGAGAGAGAGAGAGATAACATAGGTTCTAACAATGTGGGTAGCCAGTAGATGTGTACAGATATGAAACTGGTACAAGTAAGAGAAAAACTATCATATTCGACAAAAACCTGTAGAATGATAATTTTTTAAGTATTATTTATATAAAACAATGATGCACACAAGTATGTAAAAAAGAGCTTTGTAATAATATATTTATCATAATTACATATACATACCGAGTAATGCACACTTTCTAACAAATACTAACATGGAGTATTTAATGCTCCACAACTGCAACAACTCTGTACTGACAATCAAGAATTCTTCCAACAAAATTCAAACATTCACCAACTCTGACCAAAACAGAGTATCAGTTTAGAAGTTTTTTTTTCTTTTTACATATATACACACACATAATTAAAATTATACTCACAAAACAACTTTCTTTCTGCCCACATTGTCCACAGCAGAAATTCACATGCAACTTCATTATTTTTTGGGGTACACAAAATGGGACACAAGAATTTATTCCTACAGAGTGCTTCATCTAATAAAGGACTTTCAGATGAACTATTTAAGTATATTGGTGATAGATGACTCCCTAATCGTATAAATCCATCACACACATCAGTAAAATTAAAATTTTCATCACGGGAAGGGATTATGCTCATCTCTTTAAACACATCATTTTGCATTTGATTTTGAACAGTCTTTTGAAGTTGGAATAAATTACACAAATTAAAAAATGAATCAAATATGACATGGCAAAGCTCAGTAATTACGGGCGATTTTATGTTATCTTGGGCATAATTAGCTGGCACCAAACAAACAGAAAGCTGGTCTCTAAAATTAACATTGGTTGATGGACTTGAATTCAATACATCTTTCGACAAATCAGGTATGATTAAGTTCTTTGGTAAATTACAAGGAATTTCATTTAATCTATGTAAAAATACATCAAGCAGAGTGGGCTGCTTTTGGAGTTGGATATTCAAAGGTTTCACTGAGGTATACCTTAATCTCGCCACCGGCAAGAATAGAAGAATTATGTAAATAATCATACCTCTATAACTACTAATAGCGGTAGTAATACTATTAACTAAAAGTGATAACTATAATCACTTTAAAATTAAAGTTTAACTTTAGTTTAAGTCTTAAGACCCAAGTGTTTTGCAGAACTAAAACTTAGAAGCTTAACTCTGTACGACTTACTACTTAACACTAAAAAAAAAGTAGTTATATAATTATAATCATCATAGATATAGAATTTTCAAAGGATTCGTCTTCACACAAATAATCTGTTCTGTGGGTATCAAATTTTAAAACATCACCCAGAGCGTTAGATTTAGCACACTGGTTCTATAGATGTACTCCAAAGCCTATAATACTTTAATCTGTTCACATTAAGCCTACAGTTTGGTATTTATTGACTGAATCAACCACGCCACTTATGTCGATGCGCAGAATGCAACGCTTGACGTTTGAATAATCACGTTGATATATTGGCGTAGAACATATTTTCAATGTTTTAATTTAAATGTTCACTAGAAAGACATGCTAATTGTGATGATAAATCATTAATTCATAATCAACAAACTTCTACTAATATTTATAATGGTACATTAGCCAAAAATAAGAGTATTAAGTAATGAAGAAGCAGTTTGCTCAGTGTTTGAGAATTCAACGAAATGTGTAGAGCGAAGGAATAGAGTAATTAATAATGCTTTATTTAGAGTAATTGTTGAGCAAGTGAAGACTGATCGACTAAAGATATGTTACGACAGCGGAAGTCACATGACGCTGGGAGCATGCCCGCTGGAGTTTCTCGAATTATCGGGGGAACCCTGCAAATGTCCAAGTCGTTTGCTAGACGCCCTCTTTTTTAGTATATAAGCCTGACAAAGAAAGCCGGCGATATAGATAGATAATTAAAGAAGCGAACAGTAATGAAGGTAAGTAAATTGTGTGAATCGCGGTGATTTATAGCGTGTATTATAAAAGTAGTTAAGTTTAAAGTGACGAGAGACGTAGTGATTGTGGAATTACTGTGTACTAAAAGTTTGTATTGAGAAATAATAAACTGGTTTAATCAAGAAAAGACTTGTATCGTTGAAGTTCCTCGGAAAGAATTTATACTAGAAATTAACAAACAAGCAGATACGCAACAACGGTAAAAGTTAGCGCTTCTATAATTTAGTCAGTATTTGTTATCAAACAAGAAAACTCCTGACAAAAATGATTAATATTAGTGTATTAGGCCTACAGCTTCCATCAAAGTGAACGTAGCACAAATCGTATTGAAGAAATAAATGAATTTGTTATCATATACATGGGCTGGGCTTGGCTTTATTTTTACCGAATAATCCATAAGAACCTGTCCAATGAAAGAATACTGTACTGGAAAAGTTAAAGCGACTTAATGCTTTGTTAGCTGCAGTATAGTGGCTGATAGAATGGCTCTGAGTTTTGTTTTTTGTTATTGTTGTTTTCAAGTACAAACTTTTAGCTCATACCTCCATCATCTCTTGACTGATTTGACATCTAATTGCAGTTTTGGACTCAGGTTGTCAATCCCTTTCGACTGATGTATTTGACCACACCCAAAGTCTCATAGATTAATTTACTCTAATCCTGCCTAAAATAATTTCAATTTGAGGGTAGGCTTGTGGAGATCCTGATGAGTAATAAAATTGAATCGATTATACACGCACCCAACATTTGGCATTGCTGGTGCACAAAAATATAGCTAATAAAAAGGAGGGGGAAGTCTCATAGATTAATTTATTCTAATCCTGCTTAAAAAAATTTCAAGTGCTGTGGCAATTGAGGATTCCATCTTGTTTTACTTCGTGTCTGGACTTCTTTTATAAACTTATAACTTGTTGACTAAACTTTTTTGTCAAATTAACATCTTATTTCTGGGTTTATTTTATCAAGTTAACACATTACATTCGGACTTATCTAATTAACCTACTACTTTGTATCAGGACTTATTTTATATGTTATATGAAGTGTTGTATCTGGAATTTGTTAGTAATTTGTATTTCACCTTTTTGTAGACCTAATACTTTAGATGTGGATTTTATTGGCAAACTGAGTACTTTGTATCTAAATTTCTTTTGTTAGTATAATTACTTTATAGCTTGATTTCTCGAAATAGGAGGAGTCATAAAGGCCAAAATGCATTTATCCAGATGGAATAGTTCGATCTCTGTTTGCCCATCACGATTTTAGTGACAGAGGTGCAAGGAGGCCAAGCTGTGAAACCTTATAAGTCTAGTGAGTGTTGGTATAATAAGCCTAAAGTAAAGACGTAGTGTGGGATCACCTAGCCTAGAGCCAAGTGCATAAAATTTATCATGAAAGTTAAAATATCGATTCAGTTTTAAACTTAAATCTTTTCTGAATTAAGCTATTTTCTGCTATATCACCAACTTTTTAATAATAATAATAATAAAACCTCTTTAACCAACTGAGACGCTAAATTAAGAAATCTACAAATGTTTTTCCAGTTTCTTGTCTATACATTTCCGTTTATGCTTTTAGTACATAGACTAACAACAATATTAAGATATACTTTTTACGAAGCAACATGACATAAAAGCCATTGTTGGAATGTAGTGTAACTAAAACGCATTGGCTTTTCTATATATTAAAAGTTCTTAATATAACTGATTTTTACCAATAAGCATTTTACGAATACGTCACGAATTCATTTCACGAATGATCTTAAGTTTGATTGGCTCACAAAGGAATTTACAGACGTTTGACTGCCTCAACTGCATTTTTCTGCCTCTGTGTCGGTCAAGCTTGATTTCGCAAAATTTTTCTATTTCAGTTGTTATTTAGTTATTATACTATTGGGTATACATCAAAATTATAGACGGATTAATACACGTTTGTTCAGGGTGTTGGACATATTGTCCACTTTGTAGCTTTGTGCTTAATAACAAAACAACTTTCCTGAACTTTGGTTTGAGAAGATAATAAGTATTAATTTAACATTCACATTTTCAAATAAATAAAGATTGTAGAAAATAAAATAAAGGCAGTCATTAAGTGAAAATAAAACCCAATGAATATGATAACAGGCTATAAAGTTTGTAAAATTAAAATTAAGGGTTCGGTCCAGGCGGCGGGCACAGTGACGATACAGTCAAGATAGCTTATTATGTAGCACTATTTTTAACATTAACAAAAACCAATGAAAAATTAAAAATTGTCCGTAAAAATGTTTTTGTATTTTTATCATTTCCAAAAATCATGCACTCGACTCGCAATCTGTGAGTCGGGGTTCGATTCCCCGTCACACCAAATATGCTCGCTCTTTCAGCCGTGGGGGCGTTATAATGTTACAGGCAATCCCACTATTCGTTAGTAAAAGAGTAGCCCAAGAGTTGGCGGTGGGTGGTGATGACTAGCTGCCTTCCCTCTAGTCTTTCACTGCTAAATTAGGGACGGCTAGCGCAGATAGCCCTCGTGTAGCTTTGCGCGAAATTCAAAACAAACAATAACAAACCAAAATAATTTTCTTTCCAATAAGAGTGACCAGAATAAATGGAATTATCTTACATTTCATAAAACTTTTATATTTTCAATACAGTAATTGTTAGAAATCCTGTATCTACACCTGAATTATGTTATTTGATGCACAAGGTAATACTTATATGATCCATACAGCATAGCTTACATCTTTTATTGTTGGATTTGTGATAACACATGTAATTATAATATTCTTAGTTCTGAATTATGTTATTTGATGCACAAAGTAATACTTATATGATCCATACAGCATAACTAACATCTTTTATCGTTGGATTTGTTATAATAATTGTAATTATAATATTCTTAGTTCTATAATATAAAAATTTTTTCTTAATTTTGGATTGACAATAAACAATGATAATTTGGTACTTATTGAAAATCTCCTTCACAAAAGATATGTGTTTCTATTTCTTTATCAAGAATCTTTAGCAAACATTAGTTTTAGATCTTAGCACAGTAATTCACCAATATGTCTTAATTTTTTTCATTGATGAGCCGCTTAAGATCTCCTTAAACATCTCAAACAATGTTTTTGTATAATATTATTCATTTAATGTAAATTTCCCCTCGCAGTATTGTACATAATCCTTTCTAAAAACATAACTAAAGTAACACAAGATAGAGAACCATGTTAGTCCTCACAACGCACTGCCATTTTTTTTGGCCAAAAGTGATTTCTATCAAAGACAAAGAAAGTTAAATAAAAATCCAAAGATACAGCTTTTGAGTGGATTGTCTATTTTTATTTTATAATCTACTCAAAAGCTGTATCTTTGGACTTTTATTTAAAGTGTATAGTGTATTTCCTTTCCTCACAAGAAAGAAGGTTATTGTTTAAAATCAGTTGAGTCTGTTAACAGGATTATAAAGCTGAAAGGTACTCTGGATAATGTTATAAAACATTTTGATAAATTAAATACAAAACAATAATTAACCACAAAACATTAACTTCTAATACTGTCTTTTTCATTTGCGTCTGTTTTTCTTGTGTTGTTTATAAACATTTTAACCTATCCTTGTAAACCAATTAACAGATCTAAATAAAAAAAATACGTGTAATACAAATATTTTGTAATAGTGTATAGTACAAATCTTTTGTAATAAGTAGTCTTTGTAAGACTAATATTTTAAAAAATTGTCAACATGTAATAAAATATCAGAAACATTTGTTAATCAGCAACAGCTACATTTAATTTTTTTATACACTCATTAAGTTTAATAGACGATTGTTAGTTAACTCTGAAGCATGCTATTTCCTGTTCAGTTTTTCTTCCATAATAATAAAAGGGCGTGCCTGTGTGTGTGTCTTGCTTATCTATTGTTAACTTCATTTTTCTGTTTCAGTAACGCCAACTACAAATTTTCTATAGTTATTTGTATGCTAAAATTAATGGTTCAGAAAGCAGAGATTAGTTGCTTGGAGTTATATTTATTTTAGTTTCTATTTCACTATCTTTAGCCCCCCAGTGGCACAGCATTATGTCTGAGGACTTACAATGCTAGAATCCGGGTTTCGATACCCGTGATGGGCAGAGCACAGATAGCCCATTGTGTAGCTTTGTGCTTAATTACAAACAAACATACACTATATTTAAGCTGAACTGTCTTTTAACTATTCATAAACAAAAAAATATATAACATAGCTGCATTTAGTCTCTTTTGAAATGTAACAAGAAGTTAGAAGTGCGTAGTCATAGCTTCAATGTTTATTTTCGATATTTATACAAAGCTCCACGAGGACTACCTGCGTTCGCCGTTCCTTTATATACATGTATTCGTGGTACTTTTGAGGGTCGCGGGTTCTAATCCTCGTCCCACCAAACATGCTCGCCCTTTCAGCCTTGGGGGCGTTATAATGTGACGGTCAATCCCACTATTTGTTGCTAAAAGAGTA